CAACAGAGGCCGCCCCCCCCCCCCCCAGATGGACACCTCTCTCCATTCCTCCACAAGCCCTGGGCCAAGGAGAATCCAAGTCATGGGTTCGAGGTCCTGCCCTAGCCCTGGATAGGCTATGCTGCAGAAGTTGCTCTCAGACACTCCCAACCTCACACATCCAAATCCTTCCAGTGCTTGAACTCTGGGTGAATCTCAGCTCACTCCATCCAGCCTTTGGACCTCTGTTCCCCTCATCCTTCCAACCAACCACTGCCACCTCCTCTGTGAGACCCGACCCCGCCATCATCCACCCCGTTCATCCTTTCTGCCGCCTCCTCACTTTCTTTCCTGCCCTTCTTCTTAGTGCTTGAAATCACCTCCTAGGCTCACAGCATAGGCCCGCTCCCTTCTCATCTGTCCCCGCCCCCCCAACACCTGAAGGTCAGTTCCCCCAGGGCCTGAACTCCTTTATTGCTGCGTCTCCTGGCAGGGCCTAGTGTTAGGAAAGTGCTGGTAAATATTTGTAGAAAGACTAAAGAAAACCAGAAACTGTGCGCCTCTCTTCCTGGTAACTGGCCCCATCTTGCTGCATCACACTGAAAAAGGATGTAGGCTGAATGAGTGAAGGAATGAATGAGTGAAAGAATGAATGAAAGAAATAAAGGATAGAAAGAGGGAGGAGACAGCTAACAGCAGCCTGGAGCCTGTAAACACTGGGGAAGCTCCCTCCTGGGTCCGTCCTCCCCTTGGAAGTAGCTCCAGCCTCCCTGTAAACTCTGGTCCTCAGCACCTCACCCCTGCAGTGCTGTGCTGCCCTGGAACTGCCTGGTGGAGCCAGGGGAACAGTTCCTGAGGCTCATGCAGGGAAATCATAAGCTCCAGGAAATGAAGACTTGGGAGGGCGCCTACTCCTCGCCGGGTAACTCCAGCCTCATTATGACCAGCTGGGCCATCATGTGGGGAATCACAGCCTGGTTCCCCGAGGTGGTAGTGCAGCAGGGACAGCAGGGCCACCTGCACAGGAGGCATATCCAAACTCATAGCATGGATGAGGAGGCTGGCTGCTCACAGCAGGGTCATGGTCCTTCAGATCTGGGTTATGTCTGGGTAGGGCCTGTCTGTCCCCTCTGTTTACCCCCGTGTACTGTCGATGTCCACCCTTGATCATCATCTTCAACTCCAGCTCACTCTGGAGCCCCTGGCACTCCGTAGGAGCACCAACTGCTGCAGTTTGTGTGACAGGATGGCATGTGAGACTTCCTGCTGCAGTACCGTTCAAAGGAGGTGGCCCGTGTGTCCCATCCCAGCCGTTCAGAATACTTCTTTGACTTCAGGCAGCCACACTGCCCACCCTCTGCCCAGCCATACACCCCCATGTTGTCACTGTAACCCCCACAAGTCACCCCTTCTTCCAGACTGCTCAGTTGCATTCTCTCCCGGGAAGCTGCCCTGATACTCTCCTGTCTGCCTCTCCCTTCCAAACCGCTGCCCCACCCCCAGGCTTCAGTGTGTCCTCAACACTGATTACATGGCCCTGGTGTGTGGGTAGTTGAAGGACAGTCCTCCTGTGACACTGAACTATGAATGTGCCTTCTTTACCTAGCTTGGCTCAGGGCTGAGGTGAGAGGAAGGGAGCTGTTGAGCCGAGCTGAGTGGAGAGTGGGTTGGGGTTGTGAGCTCCTGTATCTGCTGTTCCCTGTTCAGTTCTCAGTGCCTGAAACTCCTGGTGGAAGTGTGGCTGTCCTGCAGACACCCACATTAGGCCATTATTCATCATTATGGCTCAGTAGGCGTGAGTCCCTCAGATCCTTTCTTGCTGAGAGCTGGATCTGATGGAAAGAAGGAGAGATGGATGGATCTGTGGACAGCCTGTGCTGGTGGTGGGGGATAGGGGAGGAGAGAGAGGCTGGGAGGGGTGTAGACACCAAGTTGGGGGTGGAGTGACTGCTGAGAGACACTCACGGTGCTTCAAGCAAGGCTCTCTGGGATTCCACAAGGAGGGAGGAGGTGGTAGTGACCCGCAGGCTTTCCCCTAGGCCTCTGTCAGGATGGAGCGGCCACTGCTGCTAGAGGGGAGAACTGAGGATCTGCCACTTTACACTCAGAATGCCTGGACCTTGGAGCTATGAAACTCTTCTAGAAGCCAAAGCTATAGGCACTCCAAAGGTTCTGCTGGGCCAGAGAGCTTGGCAGCCAAGGGCAGGGCAGGCAGACCTGAGTCTACTTTTTGGGCCTGAGGGCTGAAGAGGGACCTGGGGACAGGAGCTGGGGAGGGGGCAGGCAAGGGGACTGAGCCTTGGGAGATGAAGGAAGGGGTGATGGCTAAGAAGAGGCTGACTTGCTACCCCTAAGGGCAGCCAAGGGTCCCTATTGTGTCTGTTCCCACAAAGACTGAGCACACAGTAGGTGTTTAATTAGTTCCCTCAGGATCAAAGATAGACATAGCCTGCCCTCTCCTCCTCTGTTTTCTCTTTTGTCCTGCAGGCTCTGGATGGATCTGGATGACCCCTAGTTCTGGAAAGAAGTCAAGATCTGTTCATCCCCACTCATCACATTCTCTAAGCACAGGGCCCATGGCACAAGGCCCACTCTCGAGCTGCTGCCCAACTGCCTGGTGACCCTGCCAGGGGCTTCTGTGAGGGGGGCGCGGGCGGGGACCAGGCGTCCATGCCAGGCTGCCACCGCGCCCCCTCCCCTTTCAGCCTGGTGCCCCCAAGACTGCGTTCGGGGCCAGGGGCCCTTTGGAGGTGTCCCACCATGTGACACAGCACCACTCTGTCGTGGGACCGAACAGCAGCGGCCCCGGTGCCTCCCGTCCATGCTCCCAGGCCTGGCCCTCACTGCCAAGCATGAGGCCACGGCCCAACGGAGCGCTCTGGGAGGGGGCCACTCTGTGGCCCACACTGCTGCTGCTCCTTCCTCTGCTGGGCTGCCTGTGGGCCACAGGCACCCCTGTCCCATCCTCTTCCTTCTTGTCACCTGGGACTCAGCAGGACAGTGCACTGGGTGCCGGCCGAGTGAAGCGAGGCTGGGTGTGGAACCAGTTCTTCGTGGTGGAGGAGTACACCGGGACAGAGCCCCTGTATGTGGGCAAGGTAAAGTGGGGCCCACTGTCCAGCCCCGACTCTGGGAACTCCCACTGCTAGATGCAAGAGACCCTGGTCCCTGTCCCTGCTCCCTTCCAGCAGATGCCTTGCCTCTATGGGCCCTCAGCTCCCTGCCTCCCTGCGGAGAGCCAAGGGAAACCCAGCTCTGGTCTAAATGCTTAGAACTTCTAGCGAGTTTACAAATCTGATCATGTCCACAGAACTCTGGCTACTCTCCCCTCAGCTTCCCACTGGGGTCACACCCAGGTTCCATCTTCCCCTCCCTGGAGTCCCTTCTGCTCTCTGCAGAGCTGGGGTCTTGCAGCTGAGCCTCCTGCATGTTGTCACTCTGTCTCGCAGTCTTACTTTCTGAGGTTTCAACCACCGGACTGGTCTGGTCTGAAAGGCCCTTCCATGCCCCAGGCCAGTTTCCTGCTGCCCTTCTCCCTAGACTGTTTCTTCCCCTTCCCTGCTTCTCCCATCCCTACCCTACCAGACACTCGCTGCATGGCCTCAGCCTAAATGCTGCTTCTTCAGAGATGCCCTCCCTCACTATGCCAGGTTAGGACGCATACACACCACACACACCACACCACACACATACGCACACACACCCCCACACACATACACACCATGCACCACACACCACACATACACCACACACACCACACACACCACACTATACACATATACAAACACACACCACGCACCACACACACACACCACGCACCATACACATACACCACACACCACATATACACACACACCACACACCACACACCACACACATACACCACACACCACACACACACACCCCACACCACATACACCACACCACACACACACACCACACACCACACCACACACACCACATCACGCACACCACACCACACATACCACACACACACCACACCACACACACCACACATACACCACACCACACACACCACACACACCACACATACACCACACCACACACACCACACACACACACACCCACACACACATACACACACACACCATGCACCACACACCACACATATGCCACATACACACACACCACACCACACACACCACACCACACCACACACACCACACACACACCACACCACACACCACACATACACCACACCACACAGATCACACACACTACACACACACCACATACACACACCACACACACCACATACACCACACACACACACCACATGCGTACACACACACCCACACACACATACACACACCATGCACCACACATACACCACACACACACCACATACCACACATACACACACCACACCAGACACACCACACACTACACCACACCACACACACACACACCACACATACACACACCACACACACACCACACCAGACACACCACACACTACACCACACCACACACACACACACCACACATACACACACCACACACACACCACACCAGACACACCACACACTACACCACACCACACACACACATACCACACATACACCACACACACACACCACACGTACCACACCACGCCACACCCCTTCCACACAGGTATGCATGTGCCCCTGAGGTTCCTGTATCTTCCTTTAGATGTGTTAATTATGTATGTGTTTGTTTGATTACGCAGTTAACACATCTCTCCCATCAGATGGTGTTTGCTTTTCTCCCTGTTAAATCCCCAGTGCCTAGTGCCATTCTGTTCCATGAATGAATGAACGAATGAATGAGTGAATGAAAGCTGCCTTCTCAAACCCCCTGAGCAGATGTGGGTTAACCTGACTGAAGGTCAGGCTTTTAGGGACACATGGAGCTGAGGACTGTGTTCATCCTTTCAGCTCTTGCTCCTGTTGGAGCCCAGGTGTACAGAAGTGCCATTTCACCTGCTTGGGGCTCTGCAGTGTCACCGACTCCCTGGTTACAAAAAGTCTCACAACACAGTCTCTGAACTGAGCAGTCACTGATTAAATGGTATTGTCAGCTGGCTTCATGGAGGAGAGAACACCTAGATTGGGTTTTAGCTTAGAGTAGGAGTTCATAAAGCCGATGGGGAGAAGTCACAGCCTATGCAAAGACAGGGAGGTCTGAAGGAGCCTGGTCTGTTCAGAGACTCATCAGCAGTGGAGATGGTGAAGCGGAGGGTGCTTGTAAGGTGAATACTGAGAGGGGCCCAGGGCTCATTCTCTGGGTGTTGTTTAGACTATCAGCTTGTAGCACATTTTGGTCGGCAGCAAGGACTCAGCTCTGTAGTCTGAGGCTGAGAATGAGGAGACAGAGCTAAGGCTCCGAGACCAGCCTCTGACAGAGTCAGGATGTAAGCCTCTGGATTTGTGTGTGGGAAGCTCTGCGCTCCTGAGCTCCAGGTGCAGGAGTCCCTGCTGATCAGCCTCTGCCCTCCCTCTGTACACGGCTGAAGTTGGTCCCCACAGCTGAGCAAAGATTGAACGGACGGAGCTCGGGCAGGCCCAGGCCTTGCTCACAATGGTCCAGCATCCCCGTGGCAGAGCAGAGGCAGCTGATTCCCAGCAAGAACTGCAGAGGAATGCAGGTGGAGGAAGGACAGGTACAGGTCAGGTGGTTCTGAAGGCCTGGACTGCTAACCTGCTGTCCACATGACCTTGAACCTGTGCCTGCCCCCAGACTTGTTTGTGAACAAGGAGATCTAAGAGACTCCCATCCTGAGGCTTTTGAAGGTTAAGAAGGCAAACTGAGTCCACCAAGCACTCAGCCTGTGCCTTGTTTGTCTGTGGTTACTTTTTTCGCTATTCTCATATAAAGTTCTTAATCCAAGCGCAAGGTAGAAAGCACAGTTCTCTTTTGTAGGCCGAGAAACCAAGGGCAGAGAGGACAGACTCCTGGAGTGCACAGGCGGTTTAGCCAGTACTTGCACCTGTGTGACCTACAGTTTTTGTGTGTGTGTGTGTGTGTGTGTGTGTGTGTGTGTGTGTGTGTGTGTGAAGGCCAGAGGACAACCTTACCTGTCATGTTCAGAAATGTTGCCCACCTCCTCTAAGAATGGATCTCTTGTGGGCCCGGAATTCACCAAGTCGTCTAGACTGGCTAGCCAGTGAGCCCCAGGGATCCTGCCTGTCTCACCTTCCCAGTGCTAGGACTACAAGTGCAAGTTTGTGACACCACACCTGGCTTTTTGCATAGCAGGCAAACACTTTACCTACTGAGCTATCTCCGTAGCCCCGCTGGAGTTTCTGCTGCCCCAGGGAGAAGAAGCCAGCCCCAGACTGAGGGTCCAGACCTGGCAGAGATCTCTAAGGTTTGAGCAAAGGCTTGGACCTGCCTGAAGTCCCAAAGAGACACCAGGGGACTGAAACATCTGCCTAGAGCTTGATGAATGATCAGCTAGTAGTTGGGTGGTCTAGCAGCTGCGGCCTTATGAAGGCCGCCCAGCCACCCAGGTCCTTAAAGAAACAAGCCTCCAGTTGACTGCTGTATCTGTTTTCCCAGCCTTTACGGTCTCAGTGAAAGGAGTCAGCCCCTCACCATCACCTTGAACCACAGTCTGTTGAGGAGGTGTTCCTAGTAAGACCTTTCATTGTAAGAAGGGGAAACTGAGGCCCGGGGATAAAGAAGATTGTGCCAGGTCAAATGACAACACAGATATAGAACCAAGCAAGAGACAACATCCCCAGGTACCAGCGGTGTGCCCATTTGAAGCTGAGAGTTCTTGTCTGCTGTGAGCCAAACATCGCACTGGTCCAGACTCTGGAAATATCTCTGCCAACCGTCGTGATGATTTGCCAGCTCCTCCTCTATGCTGAGAGTTTACTCCCAAGCCACCTCCCTAAGACTCTGTGCACGAGTCAGGGAGAAGTTCCTGTAACTCTGAAACATTTGCCCACCACTTTTTCCTGGTGGGAGCCTGGTGTGTGGCCAGGGAGCCCACTGGAGCTAGACCCTAGGAACCCTTGACCCTTAGTCCCAAAAGTCTTCTGGGCACCCCAACATCTTAACTTCTCACTGCTCACTGGAAGGAGGTTTTCACCTTAAGAGTGTGAGATTGGGTTTTTAAAAGCCTTCTATCCCTGGCTAGTCAAGCCTATGCACATATGAGTGCTTGTGTGTGTGTGCGTGTGCATGAGCGCTTGGACACACCCCCACACATACCACAGACACACACGCACACATACATACGTGTGTATGCTGTCATCCTGCCATACCCCTCACTCTGTGGAGAAAGGACCTCTTTGCACTTCCAGTGAAATCACTGCTTCCTGGTCCGTCCCCCCCACCCCAACCAGGAGCTGCTCTGTGCATCAGTCCTTGTTGAATTCCAAAGGTAGCTTAGCAACAGCACCAGGCAGTGAACCCTGGGTACCCAACGGTAGCCTATTTCACAACTAACTCCTCCATCACTCACCGCCAGGCTCCTGTCAGGCACCCACAGGAGCTGAGTGAGGTTGTCAGGTTGTCACCAGCCCCAGCGACAACTCCCTCTGCAGCCCCACCCAGTCGCCCAGTCCGCACTCCCAGCCACCTCCCCTCACCTTCCCAAACACCCTCCCCAAAGCAACCTCCCAGCATTTCCATAAAATCTGGGTACTTTGACTAATCCCTTTTCTGAACTGTAATTTCCCCCGAGGCTCCTGTCAGCCGGATGTGGATTTTGTAGGATTTTTAATTTTTTTTTTTCAAAAAAAGATAGAATTATGGGGTCAGCACTTATGACCAACTCCTGTGGGCGGTAAGATCTATTTTAGATATACGGCAGGATTAGAGTGGGGAGGAGAGTGGATTTAATTAAGTTGCTAATATTTAAAGGAAATTGATGAACTCTTGGTTTACGAGTTGCAAGGCGCGAACAGACCCCTCACGTTCCAGGGGAGGCTTTTTATTTGATTTGCTTTTCGTTTAAATCCTGGACTCATTTTATTTGCGTAGCCTCGCTGTCCCTTTAATTGCCTTTAATAAGGAAAACCTACCTCTGCTCGCATTTAATTTTGATTTAATTAGGAGGAAGTAATTAATGGCCCCGTAAATCCCATTCACGCCCCCTGGGATG